GTCCTATTTGGGACTCATCAGCTGGATGTACCTGTACCCCAGTCACTGATGTTGTTTCCACTGTGACCCGAACCTTGTACCCATCGCTTCAAACGCCATGGCGTTATCCACTATGCCACAGAGGGACGATAGCCACTTCTTCCACAACGGGTGATAGTTATTACTATTTATTGACATACTTGTTATTCTATTGGTATATGGGCTCCTAAGCGGATGCCTCGATATTGCCTGAATGGTAATCATGATAACTTGGTTGGTTGTGGCTAGCAGAAGAATTCAGGACGCGCGTTTCGTCCTACTTGGGACTCATCAGCTGAATGTACCTGCTTCCCAGTGAGTGGTGTTGTTCCCACCGGGATTCCACTGCTAGCCACGATCCATCATTAATGTAATTAGAACACAGGCAACATCGAGGCATCCGCACAGGAGCCTATATGCCAATAGAGACCGATCAATTCGGTTTAACATTTTGAATGATTAGGAATGAAGGTTGTTTTTTTTTCAAGAATTTCTAGGCTTATTTAAAGAATCTAGAAGATATTATCGCACTCCACAATAGTATGTTCTGTTGTCTGAAATAGGCACTAGGCTATAGCGGTATCACCAGACAAATGCAAAGCGGTGAGTTAGTGAGAATCATATACATTGGTGTATAGGCTTAGAATCAGTCACATTGATACAGATAGTTGATTGTATCCACCGTAATAGCATTCTCTTTCAATCTAAGGTGCATTTGAGCGACACAAATATTGTTTGGGATATACAACCAGTAGTAGTGGTAATATTTTTCAATTGGTTAGATTAGACTACTTATTCACCGTTTTAAGTAGTAAGATTATATTGTGTGCTAGAAGTTATACGATAGCTTGACATTGATGAATACAACTGAAGTCAGACAGTATTTCGATCCGGAGCTAATGAAAACTGTGGATTTTTTTTGTCATTTTATCAGTTATTGTAGATGTGTACGTGTGTACGTGTGTGTACGTGTACGTGTACGCGCGCGTGTGTGTGTGTGTGTGTGTGTGTGTGTGTGTGGTAAGAGATTATGGCACAACTGACGTTTTCTCCAGGAACTTTTTTATCACGTGTCTCCTCTCCTATACTTTTCTCTTTTCTTTGCAATGCAGATTGTCTGTGTACTTGTTGTGTACTATGTGTGTGTGTGTGTGTGTCTGTGTGTCTGTCTGTCTTCGTATATTAAGAAGTACACTTACCATGTAAAAAATAGTCTGATGTAAATAACCATCTAATTGACTATTGGGATATTTATTTTTCCTCTACCATGAATCCTTTTTCAATTCTGTTTTCGTGGATATCTTTTTTTAATGGTTTTTCTCTTGGATTATATCATAGAACTAACTATTGTCGATAAATACTCGATAGTATTATTGAATATAGGAGGGGAACCCAAGAGGTGAAACTCCACTTCTTTCTTTGTGTATAGAAGTATGATTAAGTGGATTGAAGAAAGGGATAAAGGTAACCAGAGAAGCTCTGGGGGGAGAGGGGGGGGGCGGTTCTAGACTCACAGTCACATATCTTAGAATTGATCATAATAACTCAGATGTGTACAGTTATTGTCACCTTCCCTACGTTGGACATTTCATTAACATTATTATTATGACTTATTATAACAAATTATGATAATAATTATTGTCACTTACTTGGTTGTTGCTAGCAGAGGTATACAGATAGACGCGCGTTCCATCCTATAAGAGACTCGTCACCCGGATGTATCTGCAACTCAGTGCATAGTGATGTTGTTCCAAGTGAAAACAATCGCACCTTGCTTGTAATTCTCCGTTGGCTAGCGGATAACGCGTTGGCGTTTTATTAGCGATGGGTATGAGGTTGAAGTCTGTTGAGTGGAAACAACATGACTCTACAATGGGATTAGAGGTAGTTACATTTATCTGATGTCTCCTAGATAGGACGAAACGCTAGTCAACCTGTATTCCTCTGCTAGTCACAACCAACTAAATAGGCATACTTAACAATCAGGCAATATTGAGGCATCTGCGTAGGAGCTCATATACCAAAAGACGTTGAACAAGTCGATCCAGTAAAACAGCCGAGAACTTTTATCATTACTGTTATGACTACCATTATTATTATTATTATTATTATTGCGGTAATCATTCTTACCATAATTATCATTATCGTGTCACCGTCGTCTGGGACGCCCAACTTGTCGTTTCCCCTTCTTGGTTCAACTCAAGGGCCTGGACTGGCGCGTGATGTTCCTAGTCGGCTTTCTCAGTGAATGCACAATCCAATCCATCTCCGATTTCTTCTACTGCATATTTGTTGGGAGATAGGCTCTTGGTTAGTTCGTCTCTAGCCAAAGTTCCTTGTTACTTATTCTTTCTGGCTATCTGATCTGATCTTCATTATCGATTGATCGTAGGAAGCAGCTGTTGATGAAGAATGTCTGTAGTTGGAAGTACTTTTCGTGACGCGCCAAGTTTCTGAACCATCACATAAATGCACTGACTTGACTGACATCAGTGTTCAAAATCCGCATGTTGTTCACACTTTATGCTGAGCGCAGTGGATCTCTACACTGATTTCAAATTAGTGAAAGCCTATCTTGCTGTCTGTCCGATCGTGGCTTTGACGTTCTCATCTGTGCCGCCTGTAGTTGGAATGACGCTGCCTAGGATGATACGTGAGAGACAACTTCCTTTAGGTTTCTCCTATTGATGGTGATTGGTGCTTGTTGTTGTTAGTTGGGTATCTTCATCACCTCTGTCTTCTCTACCTTCACCTGAAGGAAATCCTATCTTCGCTCCCTCGCCTGGCTTCTTCTGTCAACTTGTTATTTTTCGCTTGTAGATCTTCGAGTTTGTGCGACACTAGACATTAGACATAAATCATCATGGGCGAAATCCAAATCTTCTATGGTCTTTTCATCTGTTCAGCGTTTGCCCATTTTCTTACTCCTCACGGTTTCCTGCATGATCCAGCCCACCACAATCAGGAAGATGATGGATGATAGTAGGCGGCAGCCTTGTCTTACTCCTGTCTTCACTTCGAAGGCGTGGCTGAACTTTCCATTGTGGATCACTTGACACGTGGCGTCTTCATGTAGCTGTTGAATAAGGTCGATAAAGACTAATGGCTCTGCGTAGTGTTGAAGCAGTGGCCTGTCAAATTACTTCTCGATCGACGCTACCTACGGCCTTTTCAAAGTTGATGAAGTTGAGGTGAGGTAGCGAGAGTTGACTGCCATTTTATAGTCTGTTCTCTGATGATGCGTAGCGTAGCATTGCAATTTCATCCGCATATGATTTGTTCTTCCTGAAGCCACTCAGCCAACCTGTTCCGGTCGTAGGTTTGAATTCAATTATTATGACTACTATCATTATTCTTATTGTGATTATTATCCTCAATATTTTCATTATTATTATTGTGATCATTATTATTACTATTACTATCATAATGCATTATCATAATCGTCATCATTTGTAAAGGATGTGATCTGATTTGTCACCATTCACTATGCAAACGCGCAACACCTTGTTCATCATCATCATCATCATCATTATCAACATAGGACCAGGCATTACTGCGTAACGGTCCCAGTTGCCACACCTCATATCAGCACATCAAGTAAAATGGTAGTGAGGCGAAGGATGAAGATAAGTGAATGCAGTCAGAAGAAATATTAAGTACGAGAAGAAAGGAAAGAGGAGTGACAAAATAGCGAGATTCGGTATGGCGTTGTTAAGATGAGGATAATGTGTGTATACATCTGCACCACTGACTTCGGTTCTCACCCATATCACTTAGGGTCTCCAACCACTGGTTCCTCTTGTCCTGTGGACCCCAACCACCTAGTCTGCATCGTCCTACATGGCTTAAACCAACAGTCAAAGACTTCATACATTGGTGCCATGTTTTAGTCTGGCCACATCGGGCCTTTATCCAACCTGGACCTACTTCAGCCAACATTGTGTGACAAGACAATCGGTGACTAGGCATACGTAGTACGTGTCTCAACCATCTCAGTCGATGAAGGTTCACAACCATGTCAACAGACTTACTTCTTCTCCCTAAAACTCTACACCTAACTTCTGCATTACTCACATGGTGTGGTGACACCACGGAATACGTCCCATAATACGACGAAGGCTATGGTGGTCAAACACTTGAAGCCTTTTTGTATCCTCCACTTTCAATGGCCATGTTTCACAGCCATACAGTAGAACAGAGTGGACTGCTGTGCAGTACACGCGACCCTTAATAGACAAACGAATATCACGGCAGCGCCATAGGTGGCGCAAATTGGCGAAAGCCAATCAAGCCTTTTGTATCCGTGCAAAAATCTCATTGGCAACTGACCAACGCACCAGGGTTGATCCTACTTCCCAGGTAAGTGAAGTGGTCAACACACTCAACCACTTCACACTCTATTGTTAGCCGCGGTATCGCTGAAGACACCTTGTTAAACTGCTCTGAAGCAGTGACTTCCAAATGATCATGATACATCAGAAATTTATTCTTTTCCAATCTACTTCATATATTTCACTTAAATTAAGTTGTAGAATTGTGTCCTATTCAGTAAATAGTAATCCTGTTTATCGTTTTTGCTTGTATTATCCCGTTGTTGATTGAAAGGATTTAGTCAGTCTCTGACTGCTTATCAGCTCCTACGCGTGAATATCTTGATATTGTCTGTCGGTTGAATTCTATAATAATGGTAAATGGTAAATAGGAGAGTGGAATTGACGATTTGTATTTCGTACCATTTAAGACTCATCAACTGGATATGCCTACCTCCCCCTTAGCTGAGAAATATCAGGTAGGATAAAATGGCGCATATTGGATTCCACTCTGTTAGCTACCATTCATGGTTAATACATATCTAATAAACATATTATCGGATTGTAGCTTTGTATACAATTGAAGAGTATTATATATCTCATCATTTGTAATCATTATTGTTGTTGTTTTCCCTTCTGTCTATCTGTCTGTCTGTCTGTCCGACCAACTAGACGCTTCTCTCCATCGAAAAAGATGCCTGATACGAAAGGTTGTCGATGTGCTAAAGTAACACGTAATCCATTCAATGGTGCAAAATATCTATGCGCTGCTATGACGAATGAAATTCTAGTCATGGAATGGTTCAATCCTATCTCATCATTCATTGAAATAAAACGAGTAAGTTATGCATATGTAAATGTATCTACTTATTTGTTGCACCTTTTGAAGTGGGGGATGAGATGAGCAGTTCACGATGACCTTATCAAACTTCGCATAATATCTAAAAGGCCGATGCCTTGGATGGATGTCTCGTGGATGCTAAGCCATCATCTACCACCGCAACATATTCAATGTTAACCGAAGTTGCCATGGCTGGGTGAAGAGGTTGGCACTAGATCATAGAGTCTCTGACTACTGAGAAATAGTGTAAACTGTGTCATAAGCTAGAATCGCTGAGACCAGATCTCTCTTTTATCGGCTTGTTTCTTGCTTCTCATTGTGGAGTATATCTAAAAGCTATTCTAATCACTCTGTCATAGTTAACCAATCACGTTTCTCTTCTATAAGATACTGAGATCTGATTGGTTTGTGGGGATAGAAGGGGGGGGGTTGGCCAACAACCTCCAAATTAAATTACGTACTGTCCATTGCATGTTAATGATACGCCGCGAGATGAGTATGATTCCCTGAGGTTTGTAATGAGAGATCGTGACCTCACCTCGGTGCACGGTACACTAAGTCGGCGACGAATATAGTTACTCAAGGTGATGGTATTGAATGAAAGTCACATTATTATATATTGCTAAGTGACAGTATTCGACGAATATGAAGTCATTGGATTCTGTCAAGCCGTTGGATGAAAAAGGACGTGAGGATTATGGGACTTGAAGGCACTGGATGATAGATACTCACTTCTATCGAGTTGCATACTGTCCAGGTTTTCAATAGATTACGAACTAACAACTATTATCTATCCCATGGGTTCCTGGTGTAACATAGGGTTTCACTTAGCACCTTGCCATTTCACTCTCTTCTCTACTTTAACCTGGCTTCATGACTGCTTATAACCTTTCATTTCCTCCATGTTACCCTCGCCTGAGACTTCTTAACTCATCGTCTCTTAATTGTGTTGCATTCAACGGCCTGGACTTGGTGTATCGTGTCTTTAAACCACACCTTCTTCATCTATATTCAATACATTCCATCTTTGGTGTAGGCATCAGCTATTCATGTATGTCTACAGTGTTGTTTGCTGGTATGCTAACACCCGATAAAGTTGGATATTAGTCTTATATTGTCAGATTTTTATTAGCTTACCGTTTAATTGTCTGTCTACTTATGAGTAGTATATGAGTAGTATATTTCTAAATGGTTTTTTTTATGTAACTTCTTTATTTATTTTTCTCTTCTCTTTATCAATCATTAGATAATTGTTCCAGATATGCCATCACCTTTATTAAATTTTGATTTAATTATAATGAAAAATCTTCCTTTACCATTTGTATGCCTTGGAGTTTATCGACATCATTCACGTAAAGGTCGTGAAGGTCAACGATTTCGTTTACATTTAATTGATTTAAATAATTCTCAATCATTGAATTTATTACAATTATTATCATCTACATCATTGTCTACAATAAAAATATCGCCGAATTCTTCATATACTCCGATTACATCTTCAATTCATTATCCCGGTGTATCTTGTCAATCGACGACGACGACGTCGACGACGTCGACGGCGATGGCGACAACATCACAATTGGAACATCTTCATAAAGTTAATGGATGTGTTCAAATAATGAATAATATTGGTATAGCTAATAGAACACATATTGTAAACAATAAATCTAATCAAATGAAAGCTGAATTACATCGAAAAAATACTCTATTCTTGTGTAAGTTTATACTATAACTAATAATGATAGTAATAGTAGTAATAATGTATTATAGTGAGTGATTAGCATTTCATTCTACTTAGGACTCATTAACTGGATTTACCTGCCTCTCAGTGTGGAGTGATGTTGTTCCTATCGACGGGGTTTGGACTAGGGAGCGATCTCTTCCAATGTCAGAACGTTATCCACTACAATGCTGAGCCATGATAGCCACTTCTTGTTCGACGGGTATACTTTTAGTATAATTTTTTTAAAAATGTCATACCGTTATTAATTGGACCAAATTGACCGGTCTTTATTGGGATATGGAGATAGTGTGCGGATGCCTCGATATTACCGATGCTCTAATGATAGTAACGGTGGTTGGTGGCTAGCAATGGAATCTAGGACGCACATTTCGTTCTACTTAGGACTCATTGACTGGATTTACCTGCCTCTCAGTGTGGAGTGATGTTGTTCCTACCAAGGGGATTTGGACTGGGGAGCGATCGCTTCAAACGTCATAACGTTATCCACTAAACTATCTAGCCATGATACCCTTTTCCTTGTGCTACGGGTATAGTTGTAGTGTTATTGCTTGTATTATACCGTTGTTAATTGGACCGAATTGATCTGTCTCTATTGACAGATGGGGATAGTGTGCGGATGCCTCGATATTACCGGTGCTCTAATGGTAGTAATGCTGGGTGGTGGCTAGCAGTTGAATGCTCATCCTGGATTCCATTGCTTTTCCATGACCCATCATCAATATAATTAGGACACAGGCAATATCGAGGGATCTGCTTGTAATTCTCCGTTGTTACATTGGATTGAATTGGCATATGAGAGCAATATTTGATCATTATTTACTTATGGTAGCTTATTTGGATGTGGTAAGCAAAGGAATCTACAACGCATCCTACTCTGTCTAGGTTTCGTTCATTATGGTAGTACTCATCAGCAACTATGAGGAAATTGATGTTTCTCTACATTGGTTTTAACCAACAGGAATTAAGGTCAAAAACTCTCTCTGTAAGACTCAGATTATCATTATTTTTTGTCCCTTGGGTTTCTAATGGAACATAGGGATTCAGTAGCACGTCTCCAATGCGCTCTCCTCTCTGAAATCTTTTGAACCTGGTTCCACAACATCCCATAAGCTCTCATTTCCTCCTTGCACGATCTACTCCATGTTACCTTCAGCTGGGATGCCCAACTCGAAGTTTCCTATCTGGGTTCCACTCGAGTGCCTGACCTGTCACGTGATGTCCCCCAATGGTCTTCTCAGTGTATGCTCAATCCATCTCCACTTCCTTCCAGTGCATATTTGTTGAGCGATGGGTTCTTGGTTGCTTCGTCAACAGCCAGCCAGAGTTCCTTGTTGCCATGTTAAACCATCTTCAACTGTATATCACGACTACACCTCCCTGTGTATGCGTGTCCATACGTACATAGGATGTAGTCATTTCTATGTTGTTTTAGTTTGTGTTGTAACATGATGACCATCGGCTGCATAATATGTCTCATAGATGCCTGAACTAAGCCTTTTACTTGTAACAAAGGTATATGAATCATCTCTAAATGGTATTAGCAAAGCAACAACACTGTGTACTTTTTAATAGTATATAACTTTTGCACCTGTCGATAAATTTCAATGGGTAGCTAGCCAGTCATTCTATATCATTGTTGTCCTCAGCATCTTAGTTTCTTCTAACCTGGTGTCATCGATGCAGATTCAGTTTATCCTAATTGAACTGAGCAATAGCTATATTGCCATGTCCATATAGGCTTCCTATAGATCGATGTTCTGATGGAAAAATCCTCCAATCGAATAAGAATGGTAGCTGATTGTCTACATCTTGTTTACAAGTAAAGCTTATATATGATTTTAAAACAATTAGGTTCCCTTTATAAACTTTGACAAAACAATGAGAAGTCATGACCTATAGGGTCAACCAGTTAGAAGTGAAGTGGATGCTAACTGAAGACCTTGAGTGATAGTCACGCTGTGTTGTGAATTGACAGAAGTTGGAAATTGTCAACCACTGGGAACCGGCTAACCCAGTGGCTGAATGGCTAACGCTTTCGCCGTGGAAACTGTAGGTCCTTAGTTCCATCCCTAGCTGGGTCGTGAGTGCGTACTACTGACGAGTCGCATACGAGGACGAAACACCTGTCCAGTGCTCCCACATTTTCAATGGCTCCCCAACTGATGTCAGTCCATGATGAATACTACTTTTAAATAAGAAGACGTAAATTGTCTGAACCGTGTAATGGTGTATTTGTGCAACACATTTCGAACTATCTGATCACGCACACACGCACACATACTTGTCATAGGTATTGATATAAAAACTCATGAAGATAAGGGATATGAAAATAAAAAGAGGTCAGGTAGGAAGGCTGAATTAAAGACCGAGAATAACAATGAAAATCAATAGAGGGAACTTGGTTTCCAATGGTCGAATTTATCTAGGGGAAGCTTTAATATGACAACACAACTTGTTTATGAACCTACAAAGATGGTTTCAACAAATTTAAGGATCCTTCCCCAATATGTTTTGTAAATGAAGTGTAAAGGAAGTAGCCATATCAATCCCGTGACCTGTCTCAGCCAGATTGTTTGGCGATCGAAGAATTTGGATGTCTGCTATCAACATTTATATGTTCAGGTGGTTTAATTTGCTTCTGAAGCCACTTTGGAATATGTTCTGAGGCTCTTACTTCTATGGATCACTTCAGTAACAAGTCAGCGTAGGTGGCAGTTGTTGATGAATATCTGTAGTTTGTTGGAAATCCCTTTGGTAACCCATCAAGTCTCTGAATCATACAGGAGCACTGACTTGACTGAATTGATGTTTAAAATCCGGATATTGTTCAGGCTTTATACTGAGTGGAGTGTAGAAGATCTCCATACTAGTTTCAGGTTAATGCAAAAACACCTGTCTTGCTGTCTTTCTTATCCTGGCTGGCTTTAACATCCTCGTCTGCGCCGGCAGTAGTTGAAACAGTACTGCCTAGATAGGTGAAGGAGGCTGCTTGCTTTAAGTTTCTCTCATTGATGGTGATTGGAGTTTGTTGTTGTTGTTGTTGTTGGTGGTGGTGACACATACATAGGGAGGACTAATAGATCCATGAAACTATACAAGAAACTAATCATAGGATAGACAGCCTTTCAAGTAGTACATAAAAATGGTCAGATTCAAGTGGTTAAATTTATTGAAGCTCTTACCATTCGTAAATTCAAACCTCTCTGCTTTATGTATACAAAAACGATTTATACTCACTGGTGTATGGATTTTTATCATTTTCACTCACTAAGATAGTAGCCGTAGTTTGGTCAGACTAGTGGGTAATAATTGAAAGTGAATAGAAAAAATTTGGTCTGCAACCGGTTTCGAACTAGCGACCATACTAGGTTTCCGACCCAATGCTTTACCCACTAGAAAGGTACAAGGTCCAATTAAGACTGTGGTCAATAGAGGTTGAACGATTCAATCCAGTGAAATCTCGTAGATAGCTCAGTGAGTAAAGTATCCGGTGGGAAACCGGATAGTTCGAATCCGTCCGTAATCCAAATTTTTTATTTCACCTTCAATTATTTTTATACTAAAAGTGGCATGATTCAGATTTTATTTTTCTCTGTGCTCTTCCTATTCCTTAGATGTTCCTTATTGACTTCATTAACCCTTTTCGTAGATAGTTCAACAAGTTCATGTCTGTAATCAGATTGTTCAAAGTGTGTATACTGCTAATACATCACACATATTTCTCATTATGCTGTTTAAATTTATCAAAAGGGATGTAGGAGAATGGTCACTGAACAAATTGGTGTATAATTTACTAGGCTATGGCTAGCAGAAGAATCCAGGTAGAGACGCGCATTTTGGCCTGTCTGAAACTTGTCAGCAAATCAGTGCGTAGTTATGTTGTTCCAAGTGAAAAGACTCCCACCTTGTTTGTAATTCTCCGTTGGCTTGTGGATAACGCGTTAGCGTTTGTAGCGATTGGTACGAGGTTGAAGTCTGTTGAGTGGAAACAACATGACTCTACAATGGGATTAGAGGTAGTTACATTTACCTGATGTCTCCTAGATAGGATGAATTGCTACTCTGTTATATTATTATTTATCCCTTGGGTTCCTAATCCATCTCTACTTTCTTCTTCTGCATATCTGTTGAGTGATGGGTTCTTGGTTCGTTCGTCTCTAGCCAGAGTTCCTTGTTGCTCATTCTTATTATTCTGGTCATCTGATCTGATCTTCAGTATCGAGTGGGCGTAGGAAGCAGCTGTTGATGAAGAATGTCTGTAGTTGGAAGTACTTTTCTCGACGCGCCAAGTTTCTGAACCATCACATAAATGCACTGACTTGACTGACATCAGTGTTCAAAATCCGCATGTCGTTCACACTTCATACTGAGTCCAGTAGATCTCAACACTGATTTCAAATTAGTGAAAGCCTATCTTGCTGTCTTTCCGATCATGTCTTTGACGTTCTCATCTGTGCCGTCTGTAGTTGAAATGACGCTGCTTAGGATGATAAGTGAGAGACAACTTCCTTTAGGTTTCTCCTATTGATGGTGATTGGTGCTTGTTGTCCATGCTGTTGTTGGTTGGGTATCTTCATCACCTCTGTCTTCTCTACCTTCACCTGAAGTCCCGTTTCAAGTGCTGTTTCTCTGATAATCAATCATTTTCAGAAGGATAAATCATTCCGTTACAAGAGAATACCCTCCACACTCAATAAATTGAATTTCATCGAAAAAAATAACTACTAAGAACTTAGGTATTCATCAACTAAAATTCTGATCTTCTATCCAAACAACAATTGAAGAAACAGAGAGGAAAAAGAAACCAGCGAATAGTGAACAGCACATTTTCCTTCGTCCTAATATAAGTCTCCTCAACAGTACACATTTACCTATCTTCACTTTGAACAGTTCCCAGTGATTATTATTATTATTATTATTATTTGTCTCTTGGGTTCCTAGTGGAATATACGGCTTCACTAGCACGTCTACAGTCCACTCTCTTCTCTGTAATCTTTTGAACCTGTCGCCACGACTACCCAGAAGCTCTAATTTTTCCGTTGCACGATCTCCTCCATATCACCCTCGTCTCAGACGCCCAACTAGTCGTTCCCCATCTGGGTTCCACTGGCCTGGTGCGTGATGTCCACAGTCGGCCTTCTCACTTCCTCCCAGTGCATATTTGTTAAACGATAGGTTCTTGGTCGGTTCGTTCCCAGAGTTCCTTATTACTGATTCTTTCTGGTCATCTGAGCTTCAGTATCGAATCAGTGTAGGTGGCAGTTGTTGATGAATATCTGTAATTTGTTGGAAATCCCTTTGGTAACGCGCCAAGTCTCTGAATCATACAGGAGCACTGACTTGACTGAATTGGTGTTTAACACCCGGATATTTTTCAGGCTTTATACTGAGTGGAGTGTAGAAGATCTCCACACTAGTTTCAGGTTAATGCAAGATCACCTGTCTTGCTTTTCAGGGAATATCTAGTCATCTGCATAGAAGCCTATATACCAAAAGATGTTGAACAACAATTCGATCCAGTAAAACAACGAAGAACTATAAGGTAATGACTAAACTGTATCATCTGCTAAAAATGCGGCTTGATTGACTGAATTGACTTGTTTATATCTTTAACATGACTTTGTATTGTTTTTCCATGTTGTTGATTTCATTTCTTATTCTCTTCATTGTTTTATTGCATACATAGCTGAAGATATTTTACCAGTTGTAGAAACTGTACAATTAGAGCATAATACTATATTGATCTGTTTTCAAGGTTAGTCTTTTTTTTTTCTCCCATTTTTTCCCCATTATTTTTCTTTGTTTTTTTTGTTGTTTTTTTTCAATCTCTATGAAGGATATTTTGGTATCATTGATGATTTATGATAGGATAAACCGCGTAAGTAATGCTGAAATCGAGTGAAGGGTACTTGACTGATAAGATCGTTTACCACGATTGGCTGGAATAACTTTAGCGGATGTACTAGGCGTATAAATCTACTACCACCCTTTTCGATGTACCATGTTAACGGTGGGTTCAATTTGGTTGGAATAAGCTTCATTGTGTCAATAATAGAAGTCTATAAAACCACAGTTATCTTGAATTTTCAAACTAAGATAAACTAGATTATCTAGGATATAGAATCGTTCATGGAATCTGTATACTTGTAGCAAGGAGAAGATAATTAGGTGGAATAATCACCGGAACTGCAGAAAAGAACTTAGAAGATCTGGATTTCGCCGATGATGACTTGTGTCTAATGTCACACAAACTTGAAGATGTACAGGCGAAAACTAAGAAGATGGCAGAAGAGGCAGCGAAGACAGCAATTCAAGTGAACATGGGAAAGACAGAGGTGATGATGATACCCAACGAACAACAAACACCAATCACCATCAACGGGAGAAACTTAAAGGAAGTTGTCTCTTTCACCTACTTACATAGGCAGCATCGTTTGAACTACAGGCGGCTTCAGAGATGAGGACGTCAAAGCCACCTAGGATAAGACAATCAAGACAGGTGTTTTTGCATTAACCTGAAACTAGTGTAGAGATCTTCTACACTTCACTCAGTATAAAGCCTAAAAAATATCCGGGTGTTAAACACCAATTCAGTCAAGTCAGTGCTCCTGTATGATTCAGAGACTTGGTGCGTTACCAAAGGGATTTCCAACAAATTACAGATATTCATCAACAATTGCCACCTACACTGGCTCGTTACTGTAGCTCAGCTCAGATGACCGGAATAATAAGAATAAGCAACAAGGAACTGTGGCTGGCTGGTGACGAAGCAACCAAGAACCCATCGTTCAACAAATATGCACTGGGAGGAAGTGAGAAGGCCGACTGTGGACAACATGCACCAGGCCACTTACTCGAGTGGAACTCAGATGGGGAACGACTAGTTGGGCGTGGCAGCTGAGGGTGATATGGAGGAGATCGTGCAACGGAAGAATTAGAGCTTGTGGGTAGTCGTGGAACCAGGTTCAAAAGATTATAGAGAAGAGAGTGGACTGTAGACGTGCTAGTGAAGCCGTATGTTCCACTAGGAACCCAAGAGACAAATGATAATAATAATAATCACTGGGAACTGTTCAAAGTGTAGATAGGTAAATGTGTAGTGCTGAGGAGACTTATATTAGGACGAAGGAAAATATGCTGTTCAGTATTCGCTGGTTTCTTTTTCCTCTCTGTTTCTTCAATTGTTGTTTGGATAGAAGATCAGAATTTTAGTTGATGAATACCTAAGTTCTTAGTAGTTTTTTTTTCGATGAAATTCAATTTATTGAGTGTGGAGGGTATTCTCTTGTAACGGAATGATTTATCCTTCTGAAAATGATTGATTATCAGAGAAACAGCACTTGGAACGGGACTTCAAGTGAATGTAGAGAGCACGGAAGTGATGAAGATACCCAACTGACAACAACATCAACAACATGCACGAAACACCATCAATAGGAGGAACCTAAAGGAAGTTGTCTCTCACGTATCATCCTAAGCAGCGTCATTTCAACTACAGGTGGCACAGATGAGGATGTCAAAGCCACGATCGGAAAGACAGCAAGATAGGCTTTCACTAATTTGAAATCAGTGTAGACATCCACTGCGCTGAGCATAAAGTGTGAACGACATGCGGATTTTGAACACTGATGTCAGTCAAGTCAGTGCATTTATGTGATGGTTCAGAAACTTGGCGCGTCGAGAAAAGTACTTCCAACTACAGACATTCTTCATCAACAGCTGCTTCCTACGATCAATCGATAATGAAGATCAGATCAGATGACCAGAATAATAAGAATGAGCAACAAGGAACTGTGGCTAGAGACGAACGAACCAAGAACCCATCACCCAAGCAATATGCAGAAGAAGAAAGTAGAGATGGATTGGGCATACACTGAGAAGGCGGACTGGGGATATCACACGTGAGGCCAAGCACTCGAGTGGAACCAAGAAGGGGAAGCGGCAAGTTGGGCGTCGCAGCTGAGGGTGACATGGAGAAGATGGTGTGAGGAAGAAATGGAAGATTGTGGGCTGTCGTGGCGACAGGTTCAAAAGCCTGCGGAGAAGGGAGTGCAGTGGAGGCGTGCTACCGAAGCATTATGTTTCACTAGAAAGCCAAGGGGAAAAACATAACTACTGAAGAAGGTATCTGCGATTTCGGATACAGTAGACCCACTTGGCAGTTTCCAACTTAGTATGTGTTGTTTAATCTTGGAGACGCTTTTATCGTCTTTATAGACGACGTCATCATCACTTCAGTATGAAATCAGCTAGCTGTCAATTTCCCTTCATGAGTCGCTTAATAGCTTGATGTGACGAAGTCGTCTGTCATTGGTTGTTTCCTTTGATTGCTGTGTCATTGACTCATTGAATAGAGTTTTCAGTTGGCTGTTCATCTGCTCGACCTTTGACCTTTCTGTTGTTTGTCATTTTTCTCATTGGTTGATAGATTATGTCTATGTTGTTAAGGCCCCAGTTTGCATAAAATACTATTATCGATCTGAACATCTTTAACTTGGCATTCTCACACTATTTTATGGTATAACTAGTAGTCTATTTTCTGCCCCCGATCGTGATGTAAATCGCTGATTGGTTAACCAATATCTCCTTAATTACGTAGATTGAAATGAATGAAGTTTAATAGCCAATTAGTGTTCTCATGTGAAGAAAGGCGAAGAGAGTGACCACTTAATCCAATGTTATTGTTGACTACAGTTGCTACAGTTCCTTTTGTAACACTCATAATTTGATAAACAACGTTTTCGCTTCTCGACCAATAGCTGCTACCTTAATGTGGTGGTCGGGCTTTCATATCACAATGAACCCAATGAGCTATGCTGGTGGAACGCTTGTTCCCTCGAGGTTCTACCATACCAGAAAGGTCTGTTGGATAGTGGTTAGACGAAAAATGGTTACCGTTGTGGTGTAAATTGCTACACTATGATGGGAGTCTGAGGGCGAAGTCGTACTGCTGCTAGTTGGATGGAGTGTGATAGCAGTAAGGTGTTTCCCTTGGGTGACCAGCACTGCCATGGTGATTCTGCCTTCTCAGTGGAAGGGGAGGGGGGTTAGAAAAGGTCGGCCCCAAAAATAGCACACTCCACCATGCCCCGCGGTCTGCCGGTCCGGTGGTGTTGTTTCATTTGTCGTTTCCTTTCGACCATCCAGCTCCAAAAATACAAAAGTTCAAAATCATCATACTCAAAAGGCTGAGTGTGACAAGCCTCAGGCAGATGTCCAATGGGCTCTGCGGTCATACAAATCTGTTTCGGTTAACTTGAGAAGAAATACCCTTCCACGGTGTGAGCACCCGGGAAGTGTCAACCACCCTCACAACTCAATCAGCACTCAAGTTCCCTCAGATTGATTGATTGATTGTTTTCACTTATGACATCAAATTCACAATTGAGAAGGAGTTAAACAACCAACTACCATTCCTGGATGTTTTAGTCAGTAGTACTAATACCGGAAAGCTGGAATCCCCAAGTGTACAGGAAGCTAACACACACTGATTAAATCCTCAACTACAGTAGCAACAATCGAACAACCCACAAAATTTGTTGCTTGCAGACTCTATTCAAAAGAACGAGAACACACTGCACTGCAGTACAACAACTTGACGGAGAAACGAAGAAAATTACTTGATGTTTATCCTTAAGAGGAACGGCTACCTGCGAAACTTTATCACAAGATGCCTATCCCGTACATCATCAAACTACAAAGTTATCGACAGAAATCAATAAGCGCATCATCCAACCATATATAAAGAAGATGTATCAGAAATCAAGACAAGATTACTGACAACACTTGGTGTGGCTCATAAACGAACAAATTCCCTTCAAACACTATTATACAGACAAACCGAATATCATTTACAAAATCAACTGTAATAACTGTAGTCAACAGTACATTGGACAAAATGGTCACCCTCTTCGCCTTCGTTCATATGAGAACACTGATAGGTTAGTAAACACGTCGATATTTCATCACTCATTGATCAATTCACGTGCATAACAACTATGGACATGAATTAAATTTTGACAGTATAGAAATGTTGGCCAGGAAGAGGAAGCACAAAGAATATCACAGAATTCCTAGACGCAATCAATAGATGTATAGACATAGACCTAATCTATCAACCAATGAGAAAAATGGTAAACAACAAGAAGGTCAAAAGTCGAGCAGATGAACAGCCAACTGAAAACTCTATTCAATGAGTCAATGACACAACAATCGAAGGGAACAACCAATGACAGACGACTTCTTCAGAGTAAGCTATTAAGTGATTCATGGAGAGAAATTGACAGCTAGCTGATTTCATACTGAAGTTAGTGTTGATGAAAGCGTCTCCAAGATTAAACAACCTAGCTCCTCAGAGTACACAATTTAACGAAGACTATCCACCTGAGCTACATATATTCTCCATTATTTGCTTACTTATATCGCCTGTGGCGTCTGCGAGATATCCGGTTATCTATCTCAGCAGTTTCTTCTGTTGTGTTGTACACCTGTGAGATGTGATTGTTTAAAGTAGACGACTTGAAGGGATTGTAGAGTTTTGATGATTGGTGTGTATGTAGCCTTGCTCGCATTTGATGGAATTACCGTTTGAGTAATGTTGATGTGAGGCGATTGAAGAAGTTGTTAACCTTAGCTGGACACATACTTCGGATGCCTAAGCACTACCACCTACTTTGAGATGTTATGTTAGGGGAAGTTGGATAAGGATGAAAAAGCGTTGAGGGTGACCAGACTCCTTGACTGTTAACCTGCGGCGTTTAGGGAGATCCAGACTGACACGTGCTTAAGGTCTCCAAGATGAAAGGAAATCATTGATGACATGGACGAAAACCAGTCACTATGGCGTAGATGTATTCACACTTACCTTTATCTTCAGATTGTTTACGCTCATTTTATCAGTCTATTTGCTCCCTCTATTTATCAGGTTATCCAACCATGCTGCCTTATTTAGCTTGTATATTCTGTGTGTGTGTGTGTGTGTGTGTGTGTGTGTGTGTGTTACGAAAAGCATTTCCAATAAACTACAGACATTCATCAACGGCTGCCTACGCTGGCTTCTTACTGAAGCTCAGATGGATTGCCAGAAAGAATAGGCAAGGAGGAACTCTGGCTGGCAGGCAACGAACCAACCAAGAACCCATTGCTTAACAACTCTGCAGAAGAAAGTGGAGATGGATCGGGTATGCACTGAGAAGACGGTTTGTGGACATGACACACCAGGCCATGCCGTCAAGTGGAACTCAAGAGGGGAAGGGGCGAGTTGGGCTTCCGAGGGTGACATAGGGGAGATGATGTGATGGAGAAATGAAAGGATCAAAAGACTGGAGAGCAGAGAGTGAAATGGTGACCTGCTACTAAACCATATGTTCTACTAGGAACCTAAAGGAAAGCTGGATGCACTTGACAGCCATGATCTCACCATGAACCGGACTGAAGTAGTCACCAGGTCGGAATCCGACGGCTCATATTTCCTACGTCTATCAGTTCATGATAGATCTTATACTGTCCAGATATCCAGTGCCCCCAGGTTTCTAAATGTTCCTTGAACTAGCATGAGTTCGTAATAAATATCAATCTGAAATCGTTAAATCCCCATAAACCTCCAAATTGAAATAACAGGATTGTTGAAATCTATTCAATAACTTCCTCTCTACCTCAACTTCAACGGTTTTGAAAAGACCTTTGATAGCGTCGACCGAGAAGTAATTTGGCAGGCAACTACTTCAACACTACGGTTTCAGTGCCACAAACCTTTATCAAACTTATTCAACAGCTTTATGACGACGCTACATGCCAAATGATTCGCAAAGGAAAGCTAAGGGATGCCTTTCAAGTGAAGTGAAGTAAAGACAGGAGTTAGACAAGACAAGGTTGCCTACTATCACCGGTGATCTTCATGAAAGAAACTGTGAGGAGCGAGAAGATGGGGATACGCTGGCTGTTTGACCAACAAGAAGACCCTAGCAGATTTGGGATTTCGCCGATAATGATTTATGTCTAATGTCTAGTGTCGCACAAACTCGAAGATGTACAGGCGAAAACTGACAAGTTGACAGAAGATGCAGTGAAGAAAGACGGGTCTTCCTTGAGGTGAAGTTAGAGAAGACAGAGGTGATGAAGATACCCAACGGACACCATCACCAACACCATCAAGCACTAGTGACCATGAACGGGAGAAATGTGAAGGGAGTTATTTGTCTCTCTCACCTACTTACCTACCTACTTAAGCAGCATCGTTTCAACTACAGGCGGTGGCGGTGGTACAGTGACAGATGAGGACGTCAGCCCCAGGATTGGAAAGATAGCAAGACAGACCTTCCTGCATTGAACTGAAATAAATGTGGAGATTTGGTGCACTGCACTGAACTCAACATGTGGAACAAGATTTGGATTTTCAACACTAATTAAGTCAAGTCAGATCAGATGTCGAGAAAGAATAAGGAAGGAGGAAGTAACTCTGGCTGGCAACGAACCAGCGACGAAGCTGTCGTCCAACAAGTATGCAGAAGGAGAAAGTGGAGATGGATTGGATTAGACATACACTGAGAAGAGGGTTTAGGGACATCACGTGCCAAACCAGACCATTGAGTGGAAGCCAGCTGGGAAACGAAAAGTTTTTTTTACGGGTGACATGGAGGAGATGATGTGAAGAAGAAATGAAAGGTTATGTGCAGTCATGGAGCCAGGTTAAAAGAGAAGACTGGAGAGAAAAGACTGAAATGTCGATGTGCTAGTGAAGATCTATATTCCACTGGGAATCCAAATGATAAATAGTAAATTAAATGACTTTAGGATGATGAGAAACTGTTCATTATTGCAAAGTTGATTCATAAGGCTGTGGCTAACACACACACACACATACACACACAGAATATGGAAGCTAAATAAAGCGATATGGTGATGAGGATAATGTGTGTAGTGGAGAATATTTGTAGCTCAGCTGAGCTCAGAGAATACAGTACGACCAAGATAATGTGTGTGAATACATCTGCGCCACTCACATCGGTTCTGAAACATATGACATAGAGTCTTCAACCACTACTGGGTTTCTCTTGTCCCGCGGACTGCAACCACCCGGTCTGCATCACGCCACATGGCACAAACCAACAGTCAGTGAATTTATACATTGATGGTATGTTTTTGTGTAGATGACTCGGGACCTTTTCCAGTCTGAACCTACTTCGGCCAATATTGTGTGACGAGGTACATGGTGGCTAGGCGTACGTAACACGTGTTCCAACTATCTCAGTCGATGAAGGTTCACAATCGTGTCAACTAATTTACCTCTTCTCCCTCTGTAGAACTCTACACCTGACTTCTGTGTGGTGATACCATGGAATAGGGTCTATACTACGACGTAGGCAACGGTGGTCAAACACTTGAAGCCTTCTTATTTCTTCCACCTTCAATGGTCATGTTTCACAGGCATAGTGTAGAAGAGAGCGGACTGCTGTGCAGTACACGGCACCCTTAATGGACAGTCGGATATTATGACGGTGCAATAGGTGGTATAAGTTGACAAAAGCCAACCAGTTGAGCCTTTTGTGTTCGTGCAGAGATTTCACCGTCCATTGAGCCATCAAGGCAGGGCAGTACAGGATTGATCTTACTTCACAGGTAAGTGAAGTGGTCAACATCCTCAACCATTACACTCTCTATTCTGGGCTATGTCACCGTTGAGGAGCAATATTTCGCATTTAGTCATCAGATTGAATATTTACTGCTAACTGTCTTTCAGAGTTCAATTCAAAATTGTGTGCCAATACAGCACTGCCTTGTTTCAGGAAAGTACTAAACGGAACAATGAGTAACTGAATGCAAAACACAGAAGTTAATGAAACATAAGATTATAGGCTAATTTATGCCATACATATTTTGAAGTGAAGGATTTTTATCGAGCTGAAACATACCGAGTTAATATACACAAAACTGTTAGTGTATGACTACTGATGGGAGCTAATCGATACTACCTATCTCGTTGTAGTATGGTTCGGTCTTCTCTTCCCTTCCCTTCCCCCCCCCCACCTTCCCCTTTCTCATCTCTAAAATGATACATTTCTGGTCATGTTTTTTTTCATTGTTATTACTGTTTTGTTCAGGCTATTAACCGTTTGTTTGTTTTGTTTTGTGTCTTTTATGCATAGATTGCGCTAAAGTTGTCAGTTTAAATGGTCAGATTAAATCTAGTCGACATCGTGCAACCACTTTAGATTTTAATGGAATTACAGTTGAATCGATTGGTGAGTAGAATAATTTGTTATTCCTTATTGTATTGAAGTATTCATCAGGAAGGGGTGTATGTGTGTGTGTGTGTGCGTGTGGGGGGGGGATTATTATTATAATTTGTCCCTTGGATTCCTAGTGGAACATATGGCTTCAGTAGCACGCCTCCATTACACTCTCTTCTCTGAAATCTTTTCAACCTGGCTCCACGACAGCTTACAAACTTTCATTACTTCCTCATATAATCTGCTGCATATCACCTTCGGACACCCAATTTGCCGTTTCTGCTTTAGGTTCAACTCGATGGTCCGGCCGGGCGTGTGATGTCCCCCAATGGTCTTCTCAGTGTATGCCCAATCCAATCCATCTCCACTTTCTTCTTCTTGTTTCGTTGGTTCGTTGCCACGCCAGTGTTCCTTGTTGTTTATTCTTTCTCGCCTTTTGATCTGATCTTCAGTATTGAGTGGAGCGTAGGCAGCAGCTGTTGATGAATATCTGTAGTATGTTAGAAGTGCTTTTTGTGACACATCAAGTTTTTGGAGCATATAAAAGCACTGACTTGACTGAATTGGTGATGTTCCACATGCTGAGTGCAGATAAATATCCATATTGATTTCAGATTAGTGAAAGCCTATCTTACTGTCTTCTGATCGTGTCTTTGACGTTCTCATCTGTGCCTGTGCTGCTTGTAGTTGAAATGATGCTACCTAGGTTGATAGGTAGGTGAAAGAGACTACTTCCTTTAGGTTTTTCTCTTTGGTGATGATGATTGATGCTTGTTGGTTGGTTGGGTATCTTCATCACCTCTATCTTCTGTACCTTCACCTGAAGGAAGTCCCATCTTCACTCCCTCGTTTGGTCTCTTCTGTCAACTTGTTGGTTTTTGCCTGTAGATCTTCGAGTTCATGGGATACTAGACATTAGACATCAATCATTATCGGCAAAATCCAAATCTTCTCATAGTTTAGTCCCTTAGTGGGTAGCGCTTTTATGGCATTGGAAACAAATGAGTGCTAAGTTATAGTTTCGGGGATTCTGACTCAGTGGCTCAATGGCAGTGCGCTGGTCGCGGAACCTGAAGGTCGCGGGTTCGATCCCTGCTGATGGGGTCGTGGGTGCGCACTGCTGAGGAGTCCCAGAATAGTCGGACGAAACAGCTGTCCAGTGCTCCCAGGTTTCCTTTATTCCTCCAACTGATGTCAGTCTACGATGAATAACAACTTGAAAACAATATCATTTACATCCCCAGCAAATAGAACTTGACTTTCGTCTAGGTTATACTTTGATTATTGTCTAACCATACATACAATCTGCTGGTATCATTCAAAGCTTAATTATGTGTAAACCAACTGATGTGAATAGTAATTACCCCTTCCACATCAAGATAAATTGACTTGAATTTTTAGCGCATTTAAGGATTATTTCTCGTTTTTTTTTTCTTTTCCCCTCCCCCTATTTAGTTTGCTTTCGTGATAGTATTCTTGTATTTCATCCGCATGGATTGTTAGGAAAAAGTTTCACTGGAGAGGTAAGTTATTTTGTCATAAAGTTGTTTTTTTGTTTTTAGATGTTATGTCTTCGCCTACTACTTTCAATTTAAGTAGTATAAAAATATAACTGAAATATTTTTTAATCAGTATACACGATCAACTTACTATAAACCTCTAACCTATTATAGCTCTCTAATCATTATCTATTTGAAAACATTAGATATATGATATTGTGGTGTGGTGATGTAAGATTCAATAGTTCAGTTGTAGACTTATGTTTTAATGTTGGTTACAGTAAGGTTTGATTGAATTCATCTACATTTTCTTTTAAAGCAACTGGTCCTTTTGTGATAAATGTAAACAGCGTAATGAGAAGATGAAGATTATCTGAAATATATCGTGATGTATTACTGATATACATTTCGAACAATCTGATCCACCATACACATTGACTTGTCGAATTATTTATATGAAAATTTATGAAAAGGTCAACTTTTGCAGACAATGTGAACTGGTTAATAGCTAAATTAGTAGACATTGTTCATGAGTTTGATAATTCTGCTCCAAGATAGAATAGCATCTTAATGCGTGAACATTTCCAAGCATTGAAAAGATTAGGAAATAACTTTGATATTGTCGTACTAAAACTCGATAAAGGATCAGGTGTAGTTATAAGATGTTATCTATTCTCAGTGATGAAGGTAAATTTACATCAGATGCCCCCTGTGAAGGGGGGCAGAGTAAATTCTAAACTTGTGAAAATGCTTGGTATGAATTTAATCGTCTAAAACCTATAGGATCTGAATATCCACATCTATATGGATTACCTAAAACTCATAAACCTGACAACCGATTGTGTTCAATATTGTCTATGTGTTGATCACCCACCCACCTACATTGTTGTTATGCGCTGATAAAGTTGAATTCACCTTCGAGGGTGAACACTTTCAACAGATTGATTGCGCCACGATGGGTAAGTTCATTAGGACCATTGCTAGCTGATGTATACATGTCATATTGTTGAAAACATGGCTGACAATCTCATCGGAAGGGTTTCACTTTATAAGAGATATGTTGGTGATATAGTCATTATATATGAAAAGCCTGATGATGTAATGTGCGTGCTACAGAAAATGAACACGGCTCAGAATCACATTAGCCTGACTTATGAACAAGAGACGAACAACCAGCTACCATTCCTAGACGTATTGCTCAGTCGACGGGAGGATGGCTCGATCAGGAGGTCGATCTATAAGAAACCTACATGGACAGGGCAATATCTTAATTTCCATAGCTATTGCCCAGTCCAATATAAACGTGGTTTAGTCAGATGCTTATTCAACAGGATAAACCGTATCTGCACCGATAATACCAGGGAGGAAGAAACCAACTTACTGACGACAACTCTGACACAGAATGGATACCCGCTGAGATTTATCGACCGGTGCAAAAGTTATGTACCATTGAAAAGTACACAGTGTTCCGTTGCTAAGAAAAATGTCTACATCTCATTACCATTTAGAGGTGATTCACATAGGTTTGTTGTGAGGAAGAGACTTAGATCGGCCATGTGTAAAACGTATTATGCAGCTAGGGTCATCATTGTAGAGAAGACAAAGTCCATGTTACAGCACAAACCGAAACAACATATAAACGATTACATCATATCCCATTCTGTTTATCAATTTACATGTATGTATGGACACACATATATAGGGAGGAGTAATCGTGATATGCAGTTCAGGAAGGTTGAACATGTACCTAAGTGGCTACAAAAATAAATGACCTCAACAGATCCGATAAGTGCAGGTGACAAACATCCATCTTCGTCTATCGCTAAACATATACTAGAAACTAACCATAGGATAGACATGAAAGGAAACATCCTTTAAATTTATTGAAGCTCTTGTCATCCGTAAATTTAAACCCCCTGCTTTATGTATACAAAAACAATTCGTACTCACATTGAACCTACCTTGGTAGTATTGATTTTAATTTTCATACCAAGAGTAAAGTTTTTCTATCCCTTCCTATTCCTCTTGTGTTTCCTATTAACTTCATTGACCTTTTTCGTAAATTTTCATATAAATAGTTCGACAAGTCCATGTGTGTGGGGGATCAGATTGTTCGAAATGTATATCGGTAATACATCACAACATGTTTCAGATAATAATCTTCGTCTTCTCATTACGCTGTTTACATTTTCTTTGTTTTTTTTTTGTAGACAGTTTTATATTAGATATGACACCAAAGAGACTTGAAACATATTTTCATAGATGAATTTGGACGTCTTCATGTATGGTCGTGGATATTCGGCTATCTTAGCGTATTCGCTCGAGTCTTGATTTCTTTACTAATATATTTATACTACTATCAAGTATTTAAGTAGTATCATAGTATAAGCATAAATCTTTGAACATTGCTGAGGACATGGTTATTTTAGATATGATTTTCTAAGTGTTCTTTTCTCATTTATAAAATTAATTTTCTGTAAATTCCGGATCTTTGAACTGTGCAGATTGATTACTTTGATACTGAAGTCAATATTCACTTGATGGTGTTAGTTTGAGATCATCGAGATTGTAGATAATCCTTCGTGACAAATATCAACCTAGATGATATAGAGTTGCCTACCGATTACGCCTCGAATCAAATGATCATCACTAACGTGAAGTAAAGTTCGATTTTTTGCCATTGATATCGATTATAAGACATATCATCACCTAGAGTGTTCAACCATTACTCGTTTCTCATAGATTCTAATCAGCTTGTCTGTATGATCCATCCATCCATCCATCCATCTAAATCAACATAGGACTAGATATTACTCCGTAACGGTTTGACTTGCCACACTTCATATTACTACATCAAGTAGACAAGACAGTGAAGTAGAAGATGAAGAAAAGGAACCTTTGTAAAATGAAGTATAATGTATTAAAAGAGAGAAGCGATGAATGAGAAAATGGTGAGATTCGGTATAGCATCGTTAAGATGAGGATAATGTGTATGGAGATAGATGTGCGCCACTGACATTGGTTCTGAGCTATATCGCTTAGAGTCACTTTACAACCACTGTTGGTTACTCTTGTCCTGCGGACTCCAACCACCCAGTCTGCATCACCTCACATGGCTCAAACCAACAATCTGCGACTTCATATGTTGATGTTTTGGTGTGGGTGACTTGAGACCTCTTCCAGTCTGAGCCTACTTCGGCCGACATTATGTGACGAGGCAGACGGTATTTATGGATATGTAACACACATACCAGTAAGCTATCTCAGTCGATGAGGGTTTACAACTATGTCAACTGATTTACCTCTTCTCCCTCTCTAGAACTCTACACCTGACTTTTGAGTTACCCACGTGGTGACACCACGGAATACCGCCTAGCCTATTCTACGAAGGCAGTGATGGTCAAACACCTGAAGCCTTCTCGGAGCGGACTGCTGTGGAGTATGCGCGACCCTTAATCGACAATCGAAGATCACTGTGGCATCACAGGTGGTGTAAGTTGGCGAAATCCAACCAGTCTAGCCTTTTGTATTTGTGGAAAGATTTCATCGTCGAATGAGCCAGCAGGGCATGACAGGCAAGGGGAGGGCTGATGTCACTTCGCAGGTAAGTGAAGTGGTCGACACATCCCACCATTACACTGTCTGTTATTTTCCGTGTCACGGTTGAGGAGCAATTGTGAAGCAAAAATTTGCATTTGCGTGGTGAAAAACACACCCAAGACATTCTTAAATTGCCGCTCAAAGTTTTCTGAAGACTCTGTATCTTGTCAGCGTCTTCATCTAACAGGATTATGTCACCTACGTTTTGTAAGTCTAGCGAATATTCTTCTGGGATTTCGTCAACCTCTGTGTAGACAGGTGACGAGAGAGAGACCTGCATAGGAATATCTATGATAAAATTGAATAAGAATGGAGAGGGTAAAGACCCTTGATGGACACCACTTGATGAGCATAGCTCCCTGGACATCTCACCATAGGCTTTAGTACGCCCACAAGTGTTTGAGTAGAGAGCTTTCAATAGGGTGATGTACTTACTCGGCATGCCTTTCAATGAGAGACACTGTCATAAAACTTCTCTATCAACGGAGTCGAATGCCGCCTTTAGGTCGAGAAATACAGCCATTGTCAGGCGCCGGTAAGCGTGCCTGTGTTCCAGGACCTTGCGTAGTGGAAATATTTGGTTCTTATACCCGCGTCCGGGTCTAAAGCCTGTTTGGTTTTCTCAGGCTTGGTGCTCCCGAGCTCCACTCAGGCGTCGGAGAATTATAGAACCTACGATCCTGGACACTGTGTTCTTCTGGCTAATTCTTCTGTGGTTACCACAAAAGGACTTCTTGCGTTTCTTGAGGACTGGGATAATCAGTGATTTGGACTAGTCAGAGGGGATCGTATTTGATTCCCATACACTAGCTAACACTTCCGTTAACCTGACTAAGAGCACCTTACCACCATCCTTGTATATTCCTCTGGAGTTAGTCCGTCTGGCCCTGCTACCCTTATTCGTTTCAAGTAACCTACTGCTTTCTCGACTTCTGTTAGTGTTAGGGGGCATTATTCAATGTTCCATTCAGGATCCGACAGGATAGCGGGCAACGCAATGGTGGCTGGAGGCCAGTTAAACTGTTCCTCAAAGTGTATTACCCATCGTTCTAGTCGTTTCCCTTGCGAGTGAATCACAGATCCGTTCTTCCCCGCTATGGTCTCACTAACCGCAGTCGACATTTTCGCTGCAGTTTTCTTGATAAGTCTAAATAACTGCCCACTGTTACTAATCACCGCTGCCTTTCCTATCTCTTAAGCCTTCGCTACCCACCATTGTTCGCGGTAGTTGCGTAGACTTTTTCTCAATCTACTTTTTAGTTGCGCTCTCTCTTTATTGTGTTCAGAGCCTGTAGGAATGCGTTCCCTTTGCATCCATCAGTAGGGACGAACCTGTATCGCCGTACATGGCTCAATCTGACAGTCAACGACTTCATGCATTAATGCCATGTTTTAGTCTGGCCACTCTGAGTCTTTTTACAACCTGAACCTACTTCAGTCAAGGTTGTATGATGAAGCAGACAGTGGTTAGGCATATGTGACACACATCCCAGTCGATGCAGATTCACAACGACATCAACTGACTTACCTCTTCTCCCTAAAACTCTACACTGGATTTCCGAGTTACTCAGGTGGTGACATGGCAAAAGACAACCTATGCTACGAAATCAACGACGATCAAAGACGAGAAGCCTTCTCGTGTCTTCTAGTTTTCATGGCCATGTTTCACAGCCATACAGTAGAACAAAGCGGACTACTCTTTGCAGTACAGTCGAATCTTAATAGACAGATGGCAGACGAGCCTTTTCTATTCGCGTACATATTTTCATTTAGGTGGCGAGAAACGCATCTAAATGACTCTATGATGATTATATCAATCCCTGTGTAGTCATATCAGGAACGTGTCTGATAAAATTGAATAAGAATAGACTGTAATACACCCACGGGTGTTCAAGGTGATGGACTCGAACTCATCACCCATTAGTTGAAAGTCATGTGCCTAAACCAATGTATCATAGCTTTACACAAAAGTATCAACTGTCTCTTCTATCTTAATGATGGATCATGACTAGCAATGGAATACAGGATGCTCATTTCGTCCTACTTGGGACTCGTCAGCTAGATTTACCTGCTTCCCAGTGAGTGTTGTTCCCACCACCGGGATTCGGACTCAGGAGCGGTCGCTTCAAACGCCAGCGCGTTATCCACTCGATAGCTTGGTGGTGTAGTAAATAGTGCGCTGGCGTTTGAAGCGATCGCTCCCGAGTCCAAATCGTGGTGGTGGGAACAACACTCACTGGGAATTAGGTAGATCCAGCTGACGAATCCCAAATAGGATGAAATACGCATCCTGGATTCCACTGCTAGCCATTATTAACATAATTAGAATGCTGACGATATCGAGGTATCCTCACAGGAGCCCATATTCCAATAGAGACTGATCAATTCGGTCCAATCAACGACGGTATCATATAAAACACTTATACTGTCTGTATTTTTGAGATGAATGGGGATTTTTAATTTAGAAGTAGTATTCATCATGGACTGACATCAGTTGGGGAACCATTGAAAATCTGGGAACAGTGGACAGCTGTTTCGTCCAACTAGTATGGGACTCCTCAGCAGTACTCACCCACGACCCGGCTAGGGGTCGAACTCAGCACCTTCAGGTTCAACGGCGAACGCGTTAACCATTCAGTCAGCCACTAGGTCAGTCAGTTTCCAGTGGTTCACAGTTTCCAACTTCTATCAATTCACGACATAGCGTGACTGTCGCCCAACGTTATCCTTCGGTTAGCATCCACTTCACTTCCGACTGGTTGACCCCACAGGTCACGACTTCTCATTAGAGCTTCTTGATATCCATCTGGAACCTGTGAACCACTTGAAACCGACTGACCCAGTGGCTGGATGGCAAACGCTTTCGCCGTGGAACCTGAAGGTGCTGAGTTCGACCCCGCAGCCGTGTCGTGGGTGCGTACTGCTGAGGAGTCCCATACTAGGACGAAACAGCTGTTCAGTGTCCCCAGATTTTCAATGGTTCCCTAACTGATATCAGTCCATGATGAATACTACTTCTAAACTTATACTGTCTCTTTCATCAAGTTGAAGGGGATCCAGTGAATATATTCCTTCAAATATAGAGGTGTTAATGGTTATGATTGAAGTCTCAGTTGGCAAACACATTGGTATATTGTATTAGGGTTACAAATATTACACTACTGTTTGTTTGTGTATGTATACCATCGGTGTAATAATCAACATCAATGTATCAGTGAACATTTATCAAATAGAGATCATAATGGATACTCTTTTGTGGGGAGAGGAATGCTTCGAATATAGATATATGAAAAAAAAACAACAACTGTGAGCTAGACTTTAATGTATAGAACTGTTGCTGACTAGTTTAACCAATCTACATTCAATGAGTAAGTCATAGGTTAGAGTTGTACTCCTCGTTCTAGTCAATTAAGAGATGGCTTGAAGATGTAGTACGCATGGTGAGTGAACCGCTGCTACCTATATAGAAAATTGGATTAGTGGGAAGAAGGTTCAGGATAGGATAGGATAGGATAGGATAGGATAGGATAGGATAGGATAGGATAGGATAGGATAGGATAGGATAGGATAGGATAGGATAGGATAGGATAGGATAGGATAGGATAGGATAGGATAGGATAGGATAGGATAGGATAGGATAGGATAGGATAGGATAGGATAGGATAGGATAGGATAGGATAGGATAGGATAGGATAGGATAGGATAGGATAGGATAGGATAGGATAGGATAGGATAGGATAGGATAGGATAGGATAGGATAGGATAGGATAGGATAGGATAGGATAGGATAGGATAGGATAGGATAGGATAGGATAGGATAGGATAGGATAGGATAGGATAGGATAGGATAGGATAGGATAGGATAGGATAGGATAGGATAGGATAGGATAGGATAGGATAGGATAGGATAGGATAGGATAGGATAGGATAGGATAGGATAGGATAGGATAGGATAGGATAGGATAGGATAGGATAGGATAGGATAGGATAGGATAGGATAGGATAGGATAGGATAGGATAGGATAGGATAAAGATAGGATATATTTTTAAACTTTTATTTATTTTCTCGCTATCTTTTCGTCTTGTTTACGAGATAGTTGTGTTTTCGTTTTTTCTTGGTGATGTTGTTGTTGAATATGTGGTCAATGTTTTCTCTTTCAACGGGATGATGTTATTTCGTCTATCTCTGTGTGTTCACATATACACTCCACCTATCCTATCCATCTATCTATCTATCTATCAGCTAACTCAAGAAATTAATGATAAAGACAATATCTATCGATTATTGGGATACAATCGGTGAGTACAGTTCGAATCCCGTGTGATTTTTCAGTCTATATAACTATTATATTTTATCCCCCCTTTCTTTGTTACTTTACTAATTAATTCTAGATGTATATTAATCAGTTGAAAGTGATCTATAGGATTCAATTGACGGTGAGATTGTTAGTAATTATTGTCATCATGACGTATTTAAAACCTTTAAGGGGGTGTGGGGGGTGGGGGAAGGGAATAATGTCTCCTGCAACTTTAAAGGATACTGTATACGTCAGTCAATATTGTATCATCATTGAACTATTCAAGTCTATCTTATTCAACGAATTCTTACTCTGAAGTATTAGTACACTCAAGATGGTGTATACATATATATATGTGGAGAGAGTAGGATTTCTGCCTGGAATCAATTAACCAATAGAATTTCTAGAATGAAGTTAATTTATCTAATCAGTATAGTAATGTGCCTAGTGGAACATAGACCTTCAGTGTGTACACCTGTATTGCACTCTGTTCTCTGTACTACAACTGCTCACAAGCTCTCATTTCATCCTCGCACGATCTCCTCCATGTCATCCTCAACTGGGACACCCAACTCGTCGTTTCCCATTTGGAATCTACTCGACATCCTGGCCTGGCACGTGATGTCCCCAGTCGACTTCAAGTGAATATAGAGAAGACAGAGGTGATGAAGATACCCAACCAACAACAACAAACTCAAATCATCATCAACAGGAGAAACTTAAAGGAAGTAGCCTTCACCTAACTATAGGCGGCACAAACGAGGACGTCAAAACCAGCCAGGATCGGAAAAGCAGCAAGACAGGCGTTCCTGAAACCAGTGTGGAGATCTTCTGCACTCAACTCAGCATGTGGAACAACATCCGGATTTTCAACACCAGTTCAGTGAAGTCAGTGCTTGTGTATGGTTGAGAGACTTGGCACGTTACGAAAGGCATTTCCAATAAACTACAGACATTCATCAACAACTGCCACCTACTCTGGCTACTTACTGAAGATCAGATCAGATCAGATCAGATGGCCAGATAGAATAAGCAACAAGGAGCTGTGGGAACGAACCAACCAAGAACCTATCACTCAACAAATATGCACTGAAAGGAAGTGGAGATGGATTGGGTATACACTGAGAAGGCCGACTGGGGACATCACGCATCAGGCCCTGGAGTGGAATCCTCAGGGGAAGCTACGAGTTGGGCGTCCGAGGGTGACATGGAGGAGATGGTGTGCGAGGAGGAAATGAGAGCTTGTGGGCTGTCGTGGAGCGAGATTGAGAAGACTGGAGAGAACAGAGTGTAGTGGAGACGTGCTACTGAAGCCCTATATTCCATTAGGAACCCAAGGGACTAATAATAATAATAATAATTATACTAAGGATTGATAAACAAGATAGATAGAAGTTCATCGTAGAATATTCTTCACCGCCCACGTTTAAATGATGAGAAACTCATTTGAATAAATATTCTATAATTAGCTGTCTAAGTGTACAAAAAACTCTTCAAGTTGTCATCATCTTAACCGCCACCACATTTAAGGATTCCATAAGTAAGAACGATGATATTATCACTAGATATTTTATGTGAAAGCGAAGGGGGGGGGGGTCGGAGGTTTTGGATACTTGTATCATCTTGATATAAAACTTGTCATCAATGAGGCCTCTCAGTAACCCCATTCCGCTAGAGGTCGAACGTTCAAAGGTTATTCCGTCTAAATAAATATTTACTACTAGACTGATATACATGTTATACGCTTCTCACCTAGGCAAAGCTTTTATGAATAATGTGAACAAGAGAAAACATATTCTTATTTCTTCTTCTTTTTTTTTTTCTTTTCTTCTTTTCTATAGGAATATAATAGTTGAAAGTCGACCAGCTAGTAATCCAATGTCTAATTCTAATGTATACCTTTTATCAGATCATATAGGTAGTATTTAATATGGAGATAGGTGGGTGGATATTACGTTCAGAGGGAGTAGTACCACTGGATGGATCTGTAGACAATGCTGACAAGTTTGTTTGTTTGTTTGTTTGTTTTGAACAGCACAGTTACACTGGAGTCAGTCTAGCATATAACATAGCTGCTTTTATTATCTTTATTCGTCATTATCAATAATAATAATAGTAATAATAATAATAATATGCGTGTATATCATCTCTACATTGTGTTTATTTTACTCTCATAATATCTCTCCAGACGATCACTTTCTCTCTGTGTGTATGTGTGTGTGTGTGTGTGTGTGTGTGTGTTGGATCTATTAAACCTATAGGAAGTATCTCATCTTCCTCCAGGTTCTATCATTTACCTTTGATCTATCTATCACACTGGTTTATTCAATTGTGGATTGTTGCTATGGCAATTAGTGTTAATATCTTAAGTTTTTAACTATTCTAATCATTACGTAATATCATGATGATCTCTTCTCTTGCTCCTTCTTCTTCTTCTTGATGATTCTGTGTGTGTGTGTGTGTGTGTGTGTGTGCACACACTTCATAAGTCAAAACAGACATTGAATCCATGGTTCATTGACGCATTTTCTTCTAACATAACTATTCAATCATTATTTTGCTTGTTTCGTTAACGGAGTAAAACAGTTGAAGAAGGTTTTACGTTGTCTGTCTGTCTACTTCTTAATATACTACTCATATTTATGTATAGAAGCAGTGTCATCTCAATCCTTTTTAACTTAGGTGAATATGTTTTATTTTGCGTTTACTAATTTTAAACTACTTATGAGTAGTGTAAATGATAAAACAAAAATTCGACTTATCTATATTAATCATCCTTTGAGTAGTTGTTTTATTTCATCGATTTTTTTTTCTAATTTGTTCATTGTAAAAAAAAAAAAGAGATGACAGTAATGAATGATAGGCTTCTACTTTTCATCTCTTCCTCTTTCCATAGGATTGATGATATATACATATATACACCTGTATATTAGTGCTTTCAATGATTAGTTATCGGTTTGTCAAGCCCATGCACACAATTTCATCTTTATGTGATAAAAATCTATTCTATGTGGCTTTTCTTTTATAATTTCTTTTCTTGATGTACGGAGGGGTGGGTGGATGTGTTTTCCTCTTAGTTTGTTTCAATCTTAGGTCTTCTCTTTATATATATATGCATATGGATATATATGCTTCTGTTCTTGTGTTGCTTTGACATCTTCGCTTTCTCTTTCTTTGTCTACACCGGAGCCTTCAATATTGACTAGTGCTTATATTCTTCTCTTTTCAAGGTGTCCACAGAAACGTTTATATTATTTATGCTGTGTGTCCCCTCCCCTCCTCCTTCTCTCTATGTGTATTGTTGTTGTCTCTTCCTTGCTTCTTTCTGTTTATTATACAGGGTGTTTTTCTGGTTATTATTATGAATGGGATTGTCATACTGCTGATGAAGATTTTGTTTCACTTCATGTTGTTGTTGTTATTGTCGTCATTGTTTTATCGCAGTGTGTGTTTATGTATTGTTGTTGTTGTTGTTGTTATATGTACAAACAAGGAAATCATGTTGTCTGCATCATTCCTTCCTCTGTTTAAGGTGATGTTTTCTCTCTTGTTGTTTCACAGTTACTGAACAATATTTTAGTATCCTACCATTCTACACTTGTCTCATACTGTTTAGAGTTGGCTGATTGGTTCTAATTGTCGCTTTGATTAAGTTGATCATGCCGATGATGATGATAAGTTGACATGGACTTCCTTGTCTCTCTCTCTCTCTCTCTCTCTCTCTTTTTCCCTCCCATGTTCCCCCCTCTCCTCACTTTGTATGCATGTGTGTGTGTAATTTACAAAAAAAGAATATTATTGAATATTATTGTCTTCATGTTCAAACTGGATGTCTCAGCAGTCTACTCTTTATAGCATCATTAAAGATGGGGGGGGGGGATAGGATAGTGTTTGTTGTCCTGGCCTCCCCTCCCCTCCCACTCTTTTCTTCCTTTTGATTTTTATTTTGAATTCTTTCTGAGTGAGGTGGGGGGGGGGTAGGTCTTCTTCTAGAATCTTCCCTTCTACACTAATTTGTGTCTTGCTTTTCCTCCCACCTCACCCCTCTTTTAAAAAAACAATGTCATTCACACATATTACACGTGTAGTAATTGTTCCACTATCGATATTGTACTACATCTTGAAGGTGCAGTGAGAGCGGTTAGTGTTAAAATAGGCCTGTATGCGTTGAATCAAAAAACGTGTGATTGTTTCTGTGTGTTTGCTTGTTTGTTTTTTTGATTTTGTTCTCCTTTGTGTTCTCTGTTTGTCTACTCATTGAGCTTCTTTTTTTTATAGCTCAGTATTACGTAACATGTACGTGAACCACCTCCCGCCACACACACACACACATACATACACAACTGGATAGACAGACACATGTATACACAAACATTGAGTTTACAACATATACACATGGAAACAATGAATAAATCGATTGTTTTTCGTAGAAATTATCAAAAATAAAAAAATATATTACCAATAATAATAATAATGATAATAAATACTGAATATTATTACTATTTATTATTTATTATTAGTCCCTTGGGTTCCTAGTGGAACATAGGGCTCCAGTAGCACGTCTCCAGTGACCTCTGTTCTCTGAGATCTTTTGAACCTGGTTCCACGACACCCCAGAAGCTCTCATTTCTTCCTCACACGATCTCCTCCATGTCACCTTTGCCTCGGATGTTCAACTCGTCGCTTCCCATGGGGATTCCATTCGAGCAACTGGCCGGAGGCATGATGTCCCCAGTCGGCCTTCTCAGTGTATGCCCAATTGATCTCCACTTCCTTCCAGTGCATATTTGTTGAGTGATAGGTTCTTGGTTGGTTCGTTCCAGAGCTCCTTGTTGCTTATTCTTTCTCGCCTTCACATCTGATCTTCAGTAGCGAGCCAGCTTAAGCAGTTGTTGACGAATGTCTGTAGTTCATTGGAAATCCCTTTCGTGATGCGCCAAGTCTCTCAACCATACACAAGCACTGACTTGACTCAATTGGTGTTGAAAATCCGCATCTTGTTTTGCATGCTGAGTTGAGTGCAGAAGATCTCCACACTGGTTTCAGGTTAATGCAGGAACGCCTGTCTTGCTGCTTTTCCGATCCTGGCTGGTTTTGACGTCCTCGTTTGTGCCGCCTGAATTTGAAACAGTGCTTCCTAGATTGGTGAAGGAGGTTACTTCCTTTAAGTTTCTCCCGTTGACGGTGATGGTGATTGGAGTTTGTTGTTGTTGTTGGAGTTGTTGGTTGGGTATCTTCATCACCTCTGTCTTCTCTAAATTCACTTGAAGGAAGTCCCGTGTTTGCTGCCTCTTGTGCCAACTTGTTAGTTTTTGCCTGTAGATCTTCGAGTTTATGTGACATCAGACACGAGTCATCGTTGGCGAAATCCAGATCTTCTAGTTCTTTTCCCCGGTACAGCCAGCGTATCCCCCTCTTCTCGCTCATCACTGTTTGCTGCATGATCCAGTCGACCACAATCAGGAATTTCATGGGTGATAGTAGGTGGCAACCTTGTTTCACTCTTGTCTTCACTTCACTTCAGAAGCATCACTGAGCTTCCGATTGTGAATTACTCGACATGTGGCATCTTCATATAGTTGTTGAATGAGGCTGATAAAGGTTTGTGGTATTCCGTAGTATCGAAGCAGTTTCCAAATTACTTCTCGGTCGACGCTGTTAAAGGCCTTCTCAAAGTCGATGAAGTTGAGGTAGAGAGTTGACTACCACTCTGTGCTGTGTTCTATGATGATGGGTAGCGTTGCAATTTGGCCGGCACATGATTTGTACTTCGTGAATCCAGCCTTCCTGTTCCGGTCGTAGTTTTGAATCCAGTGCATCCTTAAGCCTGTCCAGGATGATGCGGCTTAATATTTTGCTTGCACTAGGTGTACAGGAGAGTGATTCCGCGCCAGTTCTTGCAAACACTGAGGTCTCCCTTCTCCGGCAGTTTGACAAGGTAACCCTTCTTCCAATCAACTGGCAGGTACATTCTCTTCCTTCCACACCTTCTGCAATAGTGGTGTGAGCATGTCTGTCTACTATTATCATTATTATTATCAGTAGTAGTATTGTTTTTCTGGTTATGATGATATTTGGTAGTTGATGAGCGGATAGGAATGTTGGAATATGAAATCATCTTCGCCTTTGGTTGCTGATCATTCTTTCTCTCTTTTATTCGATCGACTAACGTAAGTGAAGATGAAAATCAATCAGTCACCTAGGTGTGAACTCCTTCAAGCTCGGGGGGGGAGGGGGGGAATAATCTTTAAAAAAGCTCAGATAAGACTTATGTGCCAAGTATTGGGATTTGTTTTTCACACAAATAGCAAGTGTATTAGTTTAAGAATTTGGGCGGTGGTGGTGGTGGTGGGAGATTTGAACCAACGATTATTGGGTTTCCAAACCGCGATGTTCGAAACAAACTCACCTATGAGACCTGACTGCTGGTATAGCACTGGGTTACTTGTTTGAATTCAGTTGTTGTTCAAGTTTTTGTTATTACTATTCACATATTAATAAACGCATGAACTGTATAATTATCCTATAATATTGGATTTCGTCTTCGTTCGGTTTTCATCAGGAGAGTTTGTTTGCAAGTATGTGGAAACTGATGTTTCCATAGTGATTCCGACTTTCGTCACTCACTTACTATCAAACTATCAATGTCATCAAGGATCTCCTGTAGGAGCTAAATTATGTACTCGACTTGTATACGCACCCTTCCCCACACACAGATAGATAGACGGACACATGTATACACAAACATTGAGTTTACAATATATACACATGGAAACACTAAAATAAGTCGAGTGTTGTTGAGTATTCTTATGGCATAGTTTTGCAGATCTGCACTAATACTGACAGGTGAAATGAGAGGTGATTTGCGAGACTCTACTTCTCTCTAGATACTTTTTTAAAATTTCATTTCAATCACCAAAGATTTTTCATGACTGTTAAGTGAATTAGTAACAAGTTACTACCACTCGATCGTACTGACATATTGACTAGGCAGTTAGAACTTCTCACCTTAATCCAAATGTAACAGAATTAGTGTTGAAGGGGGGGGGGAGAGGCATCATTTTAACGATCACTTTGACTATGTGAGTTAAATAGTCATGGTTTGTTAGACTAGAATGGTTAATACTGAGCTGCCATGGCAGCGAACCAACCAACCATCTTCATCACCTCTGTCTTCTTTACCTTCACCCGAAGGAAGTGCCATCCTCCTTCGCTGCTTCACCTCGCCTCTTCTGTCAACTCGTTAGTTTTCGCCTGCACATCTTCGAGTTTGCGCGACACTACACATTAGACATAAATCATCATCGGCCAAATACAAATATTCTACGGTCGTCTCATCCCTCAAACAGGGAGTGTATGACCATCTTCTCGCTCCTCACAGTTCCTTGCATGATCGAGTTCACTCCAGTGCAGTCGAACACAATGAGGAAGATGATCTGTGGCAACCTTGTCTTAGTCCGTCCTGTGTTCACTTCACCTTGAATGCATCACTGAGCCCTCCATTGTGAATCACTTGACATGTAGTGTCATCATGTCGCTGTTCAGACTAGAATGGTTAATACTGAGCTGCCACGGCAGTGAATTCCAACCACCTTCTGCCCAATCTTCGGTCAGCTCATCTCAGGTATGAGAACCGTGTGTTGGTAGAGTACCACGTCGCTTGTTCGAATCCTGTTGAGGTCGAAATTTTTATTTCCCCTTCAATCATCCTCTAATATCAATTGTATTAGTGTTTCAAATTAACGAAGTGGGTGATATTTTATCATTAATAGACGTGTATAACTACCATTATCGGATAACATTAACTTTCCTACTTGTTCGGTTTTCATCAGGAGCATGTGTCTGCAACTATGCTGAAGCTGATGTCTCGTTAGTGATTCTGACTTTTGTCACTCACTGGTGAAGTGAGTAAAGTTATCATCATACTATGAATGTCATCAAGGATCCCATGCAGGAACTGAATTCAACACTCGACTTGCACACAAGTCTTATCTATCAATCTAAATGTAGCCTAATACTACTGAGTCAACTTGGAAGAAAGGGAGACAGATTTATTCAACTGATGTAGTGTGGTTCCACACACTCACACGCACACACATACACACACACACAGTGTGTAAATATTTCGAATTGCAGGCAACTTCACAGTGAGATTCCTGGATGACTGGCTTGCACCTCAGCAAGACTCACAACTCAACTTTCACTGACTGATATGACTTCTTTACTTGGTTAGTATGTTAAGTAGATTTGAAGCAAGTGTGTTGCTAAGATTCTAGTTGATGAATGTGTTTATGACTGTAGCATTCATTATAAGGGAACTATATTCAAATGTCTCCTAATCTTATGTTCTTGCAGCATTCAGTTGTATAAAACTGAACTATCATACTTGCTGTATGAAAGTATACTCATTAGCAAATCAATCTTATCTTTTGCTTGATTACCTCACTCGGTCTCTGTCTCTCAGTTTTCAACATCAGCTGTTTTCATTCCACTTTCAGATGATTCTGTCAGTTCAATGTACCAATATTGATGAAGTCGCAAACTGTTTCTCTCAGGCATGTAGACAGATATAGACTGCCTAACTTGTTGGTATCCCTGACACAACAGGAATCAGTGATTAAGGACTAACACTTGATGATATGGCTGACTATCAACCAATCAGAATAGCGTAGATGTAATCACTTGTAAAACTTGAGCTAACCGCATTATCTTCAAATTGTTTATGCTTTCCTCACTACTCACATGTTTTTTTGTAGACTATTGTGAAGTGTTGAATTGAATTAGACAAGGAGATTGAGTTAGTGTGTGTATATGTGTGTGTGATTGAGTGAGTGAGTGAGTGAGTGAGTGAGTGAGTGAGTGAGTGAGTGAGTGAGTGAGTGAGTGAGTGAGTGAGTGAGTGAGTGAGTGAGTGAGTGAGTGAGTGAGTGAGTGAGTGAGTGAGTGAGTGAGTGATAAACAGATAAACACTAGGTTGAAGAGGTTAGATGATAGTTGGAATGTGTCATGAATCTAATAGGCGTGTAGGAAACTCTACTCCATTGGATGTATTAACTCACCACTGCAAGATATGGAGTGAGATCATATGTACGTACTGGTTGAGGTGTTCTCATAATCAGGAGGAAGCAGTTCAGCTCCCAACACTTTCACCTTTTCAACGCCTCTCTCAGTTCATGATGAATAACTTATTATCTTTTGCATCAAGATTAGAAAAACTATAAAATGATATCGTCTAGTGATGTTCTTATTGAAAGATAAAAGTTAGCCATCTTTACTTTCCTTCTCTCGCCTTTATCAAGTTCTTTCTTCCACTTTTTATCATCATGATAAGAATTGAAAAGAAGAAAAAACTATTTAGATAAATCGAATTGAATTTCAACATCATGTTGATAAATTCACTCAATTATACTGAAACAGGTAAAACACACCACATGTCAC